GGCCCGCTGGTGGGTGCCGTTCTGCAGGCTCTCCCCGTCCACCGACACCAGCTCCTGCCCAGCCTGGCCCCCCGTGAGAGAAGGCAGCATGTGAAGTACAGCCGCTTTTGGGGTGCCAGGGGGCTGCCAGCACCCAGCAGCACTGCAGGATGGGGATGTCTGCCCACCCCCTGGGGTGTGCTGGGTCCCCCTGTACCTTGAGGACACCGCTGAGGAAGGCGGCTCCCCCAGGGAAGATCTTCTCGATCTTCACCACCGGCTGTGCCCTCGACTCGATGCCACCGGAGATGCTGATATCCCCTGGGACCCCCACAGCCCCAGTTGCTGGGGACTCCCACCACCTAGGGAACCTCCCAGGACCCCCACAGCCCCAGTCCCTGGGACCCCCACCACCCAGGGATCCCCTGGGACCCCCACAGCCCCAGTTGCTGGGGACTCCCACCACCTAGGGAACCTCCCAGGACCCCCACAGCCCCAGTCCCTGGGACCCCCACCACCCAGGGATCCCCTGGGACCCCCACAGCCCCAGTTGCTGGGGACTCCCACCACCTAGGGAACCTCCCAGGACCCCCACAGCCCCAGTCCCTGGGACCCCCACCACCCAGGGATCCCCTGGGACCCCCACAGCTCCAGTTGCTGGGGACTCTCACCACCTAGGGATCCTCCCAGGACCCCAAAGCCCCAGTCCCTGGGACCCCCGCCAGCCAGGGACCCCCCTCAGCACCAAGGGCCCCAGATGTTCTTCCTCCAGGGACGCCCAGGCACCCTGGCTCCCCTCCCTAGGACCTCTGACACCCAGACACCCCAGCTCTCTCCAGGTACTCAAGATCCTCCTCCCCAAGAACCCCTGGCACCCAGGGTCTTCCACAGATCCTGCTACTCCAGGACCTTCCAGCACCCAGGGACACCAGCCTCCCTCTCCCCTGGGCCCCCCTGCACCCAGCTGCATCCCAGCTCCCTTTCTGCTCCCCGAGATTGCCCCCATACCCCCTCCACCCTGCACCCCTCCCCAGCAGACCTCCCTGGGCGGCCAGGTTCTACCTGAGCGACTCTTCAGGGCGTCAAAGGCTTCCAGCTCCAGGGGCATCACCATGCTGTCAAACCGGCCAAGGTCCGTGGGGGCCACCACGCTCCTGCCAGGGCAAAGGTGGAGGGACAGGTTGTGGCCACCTCCAGGATGGAATATGACTGAGGCTGAAGAGCGCATGTGGGACTCTGGGTCTGTCCCACCTGGCTAGGATATATTGGAGTACCATCCAGCACCACCCACCTCACATCCCGCAGCAGCAGGACCTTCTCGGGCCGGTCCAGGATGGCCAGCAGTGGCCGCACCAAATCCTCCACGCTGCCCTCGTGCAGGTACTGTAGGTGCAGGAGGGATGTCAGCAGATGGGCGTCCCCTCCTCTGCGCCTCAGTTTACCTCCCAGAGCTTAATGTGGGCACATAGCTCTGGTCACAGCGCCCCCCCCC